GTAAGAAAAAGCGGAGAATCGAATACTTTAATTAACTGATCAATTACTCTTTCATTTTATGATTGATTTTTTGCATAAAATTTTGCATAAAGTCCATTTTTGCATAAAGATATTATTAAAACGTTTTTATTAATATTAAAATTGATAATTAAAAGAATTCTTGGAGATTTAAAATTTTATTTTTGATAGTGAAAAAAATTAACTTAAAAAATCATCGTGGTCAAATCGGAACTCGGATGACGGCGGAACGGGGGGCAATGTCTTGACAGTTATTTCATTTTACAATTTTCTTATGTGAAAGTACAACTAATATCAAATTGTAATCTAAAAAGGTGCTTTCTGGGTAGAAAATATCATGCTCATTGCAAAAAGCAATTATTGATTATTTCGGAGCTACGTGAACGCGGCCGTGGCAATGCTGAGACGCGCGGCGACTCACTCACGCACACTAGTAGACGCGTGGCTCACGAACGTGCGTCCGTTTAAAAAGCGATGCGGATTCGCTAATTTTTAAATAATTACAACTACTTTGTGAGGCGTGACTCGAAAAAATGGTTCGGGACTCTTCGACTCACAAGTTTTTCATGAGAAATATCACTATATAAATGGTGGGCGCGAATTAGAATACACCCTGTATATGTATAATTGTTTGCAAAAAAAATTTTTTTAAATGTTGATTTATCATAAAGGAAGGAGAAGGTATGTTAAGACATGATACAATACCTTCTTTCTGTCGATTTCATATATTCTCTCACTGACGGTCAGATTGTAATCGTCCTGTCCAACGGTGCCTTGATAATCCTCACTTAATGGCTCTTCGATATATTCTACATCTTCATAGTTCGGATCCTCCTGAGATAGTTCCTCGTATGGCTGCTCATCAACCTCTGAGTAGTCCTTAGCATCGATAGCCTGAATAAAAGAGAAGAAATTATTGTTTATCTCAATCGTTTAATTGTAAATAAAAACAAATCGAAAAGTGTTGTTTTGCTTAAATTCATAAATTTTGAAAAAATTTTAGTCATCTCATTTATTGCAACAATATTATAACTACTTTCGATTTGTCTTTCTTTTCATTTCTGTACAAAATGACTGTCTTGTGAATACATACATTTTCAAAATCAGTGCTTTCAAACCAACCGGTGGAGGTTCATTGTAGTCTCTGCTAGGTCCAGCATTTTCCACTCGAGGCCTTCGAGCTGGTTGGACATCTTCGTCAGCGTCAGTATGATCTCTTTGACGTCGTCGGTTAATATCGTTTGCAATGGAATGTTTTCTCCACCGCTCCTTCGTACTTTTAAGAGCTCGACTCATTGCATCTCCAAACTCTTTGTTGTCCGGTCTCCGATAATTTTGATTTTGTGCCATTGCATCTGTAAAAAAAATCCTAAATTAAGTATGTGAAAACAGCAATAAAAATAATAGGGTAATAAAAAATTATACCTTCACATGCTTCAGCAAAGCGGGTTCCTTTCAGAGCACGTTGAAATTTTGTGCCCAGCCAAGTAATGTGTGAAGATACATCTTCGTTGTTTCCAAAGGCACATTTAAAATAATGTCCTGCGGAATCGGTTGGATTCAAACCACCTAAATAAACAAAGTGACTGACCTGAAATTAACATTAAATATCACAATCAAAAAGAGACATGTAGATATCATTTCCATTTAACAATAAAAATAATATTTACCACATTGTCGTAGGTCTGTTGATCGACATCATTAAAAGCGAAAATCTCCTCGAGCACAGTAAAAGGAAAGCATCCCGGTGGTTTTCTTACTCGTGCAGGATGGTTTTTCTGCTGAATATCTTTTAAAGTTGCTTCGATGCGACTAAAACAGAAACTTGTTAATTTTGTATCTCCTTATGCCATAGCACGAGATGCTTACCTTTGATTTTTCTCCATTCGATCCAGCTGGGTTTGAAATTTTCTACAAAAAAGTAAACATTATAAGTATTACAATAATAAAGACACACATAATGTACATTAAAAGAAGTTTTATTACTTGAATGTTGAGACGAC